GGGTGCAAAGGTGCCTTGGTCCTGCCTCAACATGATGATGGGACAGACTGACTTCCTAGGTGAGACCTTAACCTCTCCGAGGAGCAGATGGGAGGGGAAACTGGGATTGGACTGTAAAAAACAAATTAGAAAAAAAAAAAAGTTTGCCAGGCTGAGGTGGCTCATGTTTAATCCCAGCACTTGGGAGGCAGCAGCAAGCAGATCTCTGAGTTCTGGGCTAGCGTAGTTTAGAGAGTAAATTCTAGGGTAGCCTGGGTTAAGCAATCCAAACCAAACCCAAACAAACACAACCTTTAATCTGAGCACTAGGAAAAAGAGGCAGGTGGATCTTTGTGAGTTCAAGGTCAGCCTGGCCTACATTGTGGGTTCATGGAAGATAAAATTAGAGCAAACATTTGGCGATTTTCAACATGCAAGTAAAAGGCTGGGGATGGGTAGTGCCCAAATAGCTAGTCTCAGACCAATTCTAGAAAGGGATCGTGCACCATGTTCCCCATCAGAGCACACCACAGACAGGCCTATGGTTCTTTACCCCTCGGAAGGGTACTTTCCCTTCAGAATGTAATTATGTCAGTAACTTGCCTGTTACAACATGGCTTAGTGTGTAGTTCTGGGGTGTATCTGGGACTGTAAAGAAATGTCTTCTGTAAGCATAAGCACAATATACATCTGACTGCTGAACTTCAATTGTCCTTCTCACTTTGGAGATGAGAAAAGCTGCAAATTAGGGATCCTCACATACCCAATCCCTTAATCAAAAATTAATCAATCTATTGTCTTTTAATTCAATGTTCCAAAATACTGACTTCTGAGGCAAGACATGATTTCCTTTTTGGACACAGTGGTAACTAAACAATTTCACCCTTCAAGTCACAAGTCAGAGAGTAACTGCCACACAATATCCCAAGAAGCACACAGAGCACACATCTGGGTTACAAAAGCCCTTTTATAAAGCCATTTAAAACAAAACAAACCAAAAGGTTTACAAAAGAAAAGAAAAAGATACAGAAAAGAATAACTTGCTTCATATGTCCCCAAAAAGAGAAAAAAAAATAAGGGGGACAATGCCAACATGCTCAACAATAAGGGGTTTTTTCCTTACTTTTTTTTTTAATACAAAATACAAGCAAAGGATACACATACTTAAAACAAAGTTCAGAAGACAGCAGTCCTGGAAAATCCTCCAATCAGAGCAAAGCAGGAGTTTCTTTTGTTTATGTAGATACATACAACTGGGATATGTAAAAATGAAGTATCACATTAGACCATCACAAGATTCTACCAATGCATGTTGCATCTAAAATTCACAAACATGGTCAACAAAATCATGTTCACTTCAACTTGGTTTCATTTAAAGAAGAAACTTTAAATAAAGTGGTTACATTCAAACTTTTAACTTCCTTAGTACCATGCTGCATGTTTCAGCACTGCTAAGGTATTGCAAGAATGCCCAACCCTCTGATGTCCGATCATGTGTCTAGCCACACTGCAAAATGAAAAAAAAAGGGTGCCTGGATCTCAGCCCATAGCCTAAGATACAGTTAGGTTAGCTCTCTGACCTCTCCTGCTCAGAATATGAAAGATTAAGGACTAAACTTGAGGAAGACTGGAGCTTATAGAACTGGCAAATGAAGACTAAAAGATTAATCAAGGCCAACAATTATTGAGATTGTGGCTGCTGCCGCGTAACCTGGCAAGTCATGCCTCGCAGGAATTAAGCATGTAAGGTTTGCTGCAACATGTTCATGGTAAACGGACTATGTAGAGCTCTTATTTACAAATCTTGTAACAAATACTTCCACAAGAAAAAGGAAAAAAATTCACTAACTTCCAGAAGACAAAGTTTTAATTGTCAGACATTTACAAACACGCACTCACACATACCCACACTCTTCAGGGTTTTATACATGTTATTTTTAGGGCGTGACTGAATACTCTGCTCCCCAACTCACCAAGAAAAAATGAAAAAAATTTACCCTCCCCCAAAATCTAGAAAACCCTCCCTCACCTGATATACAAAGTGTCTGCACAACTGTGGTGCTCTACAGCCTTATAGAGCATGCTCAAAGAGATGTTACTGCTTCAGTTACTCATTGGCATGGCAACAGACAGGCATATGGGGACACCACCTGCCCAATAGTGGTTATTACAGTCAGCACCACTGTGAATTAGGCTTTAAACAAAACTACAATTCATGGATTTGATATTCAGAATCATGTATTTTGTTCTCTAAAGACTGAAATAGGAACATAGCTATTGACAGCTTGACATCTCAATACTCAAAAACAAAAAAACTATAAATTCCCCATCTTCAAGTAACTCAGCAGCTTCCCCCAGAGAGAAAATGACAATACCTCACCCTCAAGAGCAACCAGTGGCTTTCACTTCCTCTTTGGTAGGAAGTGTGCACTGCTTGTCTGTGACCTCCATCTACATGCCATTAAGAGCCCACCTTGAACTTCTTACCCATTCCCAGGAAGGAATGTTTAGTAGCCTCCAGTGCTACAGGTAAAGAGAACTCTTTTGACAGGCACTCATTCCACAACAACAAGGCTTTCTGTTGCTTCTAAATTCTGCTCTTGCAGATGCCCCTAAACCTGAGTTTGTTTACACTACTCCCCTCCTAAAGTCCACTTGTCACCTGCATGTTCATGGTCATAAAAATAAAAAACCTATCTTCAGAAAGTGTCACCTGCCATGGTGGTATAATTCCCAGCAGTGTTAAGAGTGAAGGAGGAAGGGGGATTCTCAGCCAGGCTACATAGTAAAACCATGTTAAAAAGAAAGTCAAGTTCAGATGACTATCCATCAAAAATCATACTAGATTAGAACTTCAAATTTCATTGCTGATTTGCTATCTGGAAGAAAATGCTATTTGAACTAATACCAAACAAAAATATTTAAGAATGAAATAAAAGTTGTTAAAAAAAACAAAACAAAAAACAAGCAGGGGTTTGAGGCAGCTCGGGGTACACAAAATGTGTGTTGTTTTTTTAAAGAAAAGGCTTTTGTGGGGGAATTCTCTTACCATTCTAGAAGAAACATCTATCAGTTTTTTCTTTGTAGGGTTAATTCTGAGTGGGAGGTATTTAAAATATATCCTTTGGGTTTCCTCTCCAAACCCAATTTGGGGTGGAGGGTTAAAAGCAGCAGTAAGTTACCACTGGGTGAGACAGAGGCTACCATTTCTGGCTGGGGGACAGAAAGGTTTTAAAAGAGCCTCAAGAACTAGAATGTAGTGTTAGTCAGCAGAGCTGCTGCACTCTGACAGAGGTAACCCTAGCAGAGATTAGGTAACAGACAAGCACCTTCAAAAGAACATCCCATTTCCTGAGCACTGCAAAGCAAGACAGTGAAAGCATTGCCACCTTACTATAGGCACACAGGGGAAAAAGTAAGAGGACAGACAGTAAGCCACGGAGGTGCCAAGGGCCAGTCATTATGAGCTGTGACCTAACTGCTAAGCATCTGTTTCCAGTTGAGTCACGTTAAATGCCTTCCTATTTGCATGCATGATTTGAAGGAAGACCAGTGTTATAAACAACTAAAAAAACCTGAAAGCAAAGGTCATTTGGAGCCTATGTGCTCACTTAAGACACCAATCAACCTAAGCAGCCTGTAATTAGAAAATAGACTTTTCAACCTAATGAGTCAGTTTTAAAGGGGCCTCTAAACAAGAAGCCCACCCAGACACAAGCAACCTACAAGACAGTAATATTTCTCTATTATAGCTAGATAAAATAAGAGATGTTAGTGCAGATTAATAAAGAAACTTAAAAATAAAAAAAAGGCTAAAATTGAAAGAGACCCTATCCTAAATAAAGCCCAAATGTCACTAGGAATGTAAGATTGAGTTGTAAACCCCTAAAAAGGAGAGATGCCTGGTGGAAACAAGGGTGAATCTCTTCTTTGCTTAAGGATGGGTACCTGAGCAAGCCCACTAAAGCAAACAGATAATCTGTAATACCCCACTACACAGTTCACAACTATCCATTCCATTACATAATATAATAACCCAACTGCTTAAACGTTCACTTTTCTATTTTGGCCGTATTTAATATTCATTTATTAACAGTGCAGGGTTGAAATGATTCTCTGCCACTAGGTGTTTTATTACTTTATTTTATTTTAAAGCAGATCTAAGAATGTTCTTTAAAGTGTTTTAGAAACCCCAAGTAAAAATATTTCTTAAATAACCCTTTGTCCTATGAATACCTATAAGAAAATGACATTGTCTGAGACAAACATGTCACTTAAAAAACACAAAAGCAGAATACTGAGGGAGCAAATTTAGCTTAAGTGCAGAAAAATATACAGAAATTAATTCCACTAAATCTTAATTTAGTAGCACAATAGGACCCTAAACCTTGCTTCTATTTGTGCATGAGATCTGAATGTGAAGAATCAAACCTATAGCTCTAGCCGGGCGTTGGTGGCGCACGCCTTTAATCCCAGCACTCGGGAGGCAGAGGCAGGCGGATCTCTGTGAGTTCGAGACCAGCCTGGACTACCAAGCGAGTTCCAGGACAGCCTCCAAAGCCACAGAGAAACCCTGTCTCAAAAAAAGAAAAAAAAAAAAAAAAAAAAAAAAGAAAAAGGAAAAAAAAAAACCTATAGCTCTATGTCCTGATGTTCTGCTAAGGTGTCTAGACTGTTCAGTGGCACATAGGCACCCTAAAATACAGTTCACTCATCCTGTTGAGGCTCGGGCCCTTGCTTTAAGAAACAAACAGAAAGAAGGGGGTCAGAACGACTAGGAAGCAAGCAAAACAGCATGGAGGCAGCATTTAGCACACTCCCACACTGTCAGTGAGTGAAAATGATAATCCATGGTAGAACTGTGAGACTCTGTAGCAGCAGGACGAACTTGTGAGACAGGTATCATAGTGTGCCACTATGAAGAAAAGGTTTAATTATCAAAAGGAAATTGTTTCTATCCCCAAATAAAACTGGTATGGTTCATGGGCCCTTGAAACAACACATCTACAGCATAAAGGAACTTCAATTATACGTATTTATAAAGGATAAATCCCAATCCTTTGTATCTGAGCTTCACATTAACTCAAACTTTATTTGCTTAAAACTTTTAACATCATCAGCCTGTAAAGAAATGCACTGTGAGGCGTACACTTATCTTGTCATCAAAATTCTAGGGAATTTCTTTTTAATTAATTTTTGATCATTGGTAAAACTATCCAAAAATAGGATATATATATATATTTAAAAACAGGAATCAATGAAAACATGAATGAAATAAGAAATTAAAAATGATTCTGGGTCCTGGTGGCCCCATTTTTTAGAAAAAGTTACTGAGAAAAAAGGACCACTGGTTCTGAGTCTCTGTGAGAAAAACAAGTATTAAATAAGAAAGCCCAGCCAGGTGCTGGTGGCACATGCCTTTAATTCCAGCACTCAGGAGGCAGAAGCAGGCAGATCTCTGTGAGTTCTAGGCCTGCCTGGTCTACAGAGCGAGTTCCAGGACAGCCTCCAAAACAATACAGAGAAACCCTGTCTCGAAAAACCAGAAGAAGGAAAAAAAAAAAAAAAAAAAAGGAAAGCCCACATTTCCAGACAAGCTCCAGGATTCCTTCCACACCCAAGGGATAATGTGAGTACTGAGTTAAGAACCCAAAATTCATGTTCACCTCCCAACTGCCTCATCAGTGAGAGTTTAGAGTCATGATTCTTTTTGACATTTACACTTTAGACATATAAGCTCATGTTAAACAACAACTGGTCTGTCAAAAGCACAAGAAAAGAAAAATAATTTTTACCTAAAACCTTTCTAGTTTTTTTGATTACTGTTAAAGTTGCTATTCTTTAGCAAAAAGCAAAGTTTCCATAGAGTCCATCTCAAATCTTATTGCTTTACAGCCGAGGGATTCCTAACTTCCATTAAAAATACAAAGATGAAGCAGTCAACCCAGTGATTAATTGACATGGCTTTCATCAGGAGGAGGAAGAGGGGTTGGCAAAGAAATAAGACCATTAGACAAAATGGCAACTTAAACCTTTCAACATACAATGGTTTTCAGAGTGAGAGATAGAGATAGATAGAAACATTGTTTCAGACAAATGAAATAGCACTGAAAGCCCATGAGTCAAGCCACAGCCCAAACCGTGTCCTACATAGGTTTCCTTTTTGTTTTTTGTTTTGTTTTTTAATAAAATCTCTCCCCAAACATCACTTTTAATCTTCCCCAGATGGGGCTTCATCTTCAGACCCTTCATCTCCAGACTTCTCGAGTGGGGGGCTTGCAGAGGTCTTCTTTTCTGGAGGGCTTTCTTCTTCCTCATCCTCTTCTTTGGGAGAAGGAGCTTTTTCCTTAGATGCCTTTGAAGCTGTAGGACGACCCACTTTTCCTTTGCCTTTCACTGGACTTGGCGTCACTGAAATAAAGAAAGTAACCGTTTGGGGACAGAAAGAGAAAAAATGCCTTTAAAAAATCAGCTACAAAAATACAAGTTTGTAAATATAGAATAAATAATCCCACCTCACTTAAAAGGAAACACATGTCCACAGGAAAAAAGCCTATTACTCCTAAAGAGGATAACATAGCATTCTGAGCAGAACTGGAGCCAAACAGTTTTTGGAGTAAAAGTTTAAAACAACAAGAAATTGTATTTGTCAGATTAAAACTATCAACAAATCTAGCTCCAACTGGGTAAGTACCTGGCAGAACCCTCGAAGACCCAGATGAATCCTTATTGTCATGGGTGGTTTTGTTTCTACTGTCAGTATTGTTAGAGAGCCCCTTAATTGCTGACCAACAACAGAGCAGTGAGTACTATGTGAACACAGTGAGGAACACTATACCTGATACAAACAGGTCATTCCCACATACAAGCCAAGCACACATGTTCTTTTTATTTTTTTAATATTTATATATTTTTATGTACACTGGTGTCTTATCTGCATGCATGTCGATGTGAGGGTAGCAGATCCCCTGGAACTGGTGTTACAGACAGGTATGAGCAGCCACGTGGGTGCTGGTGCTGGGAATTGAACTGAGGTCCTCTGGAAAAGCAGTCACTGCTTTTAATCACTGAGCCATTTTGCCAGTCCATTTTTTCCTTTTTTTCAAGATTTATTATTTTTAATTATGTGTGTGCCTGTATGTGGGTATGCACATGCGTGCAGGTGCCTAAAAGAGTCAGCAGTGTGAGCTTGGGTCACAGGTGGTTATCAGCGGCGCTGTGAACCTGGAACTGAATGTGGGTCTTCTGAAGAGCAGCCAGTGCTCTGAATCACCGAGCCACATCTCCTGCCCCAGTGTTGTCAAAGGGACCAAAGGCACACGTGAAAGCCTTTTGGATTTCTCCTATTTCTACCAAATACAAGGCCAATGCTGAAGTCTAATGAAGAATCTGTGTTGAGAAGAGTTAAGTTCCTAAAAAACTTTTAAAGACAAATGTGGTTTTACTTTCCCGGGCCTCACCTGTAGCCTTTAGTCTGGGTTTGGGCATTTTCTTTTCTTTTCTCTCAGGTTTGGACTTCTTAACAATCTTTTTGTTTTTCTTTTTTGAACTGCCATAATCACTATCATCATCGTCTTCCATTAGGAAATCTTCATCGCTGCCAGAATCTTCTGAGAGGAAAGAAGAATTTCAACGTCCAACTTAAATGTATACATCCTTCCAAGTGAACAAAGGGAAAGAATGCTGAGAATGACTGGAGGATAGGATTTGGGAGTTAAGCATTATTGGATTCAACAAGGAGTTACACTACCAACTTGTCAGAGTTATCCCTGACCCACTATAGAATGGGTATAGAATGGACTATACTAAGATAATATAACATAGTATCTTAGAGTAGAAAGAAACTTTTTTTTTTTTTGGTTTTTATGAGACAGGGTTTCTCTGTATTGTTTTTGTTTTGGAGGCTGTCAGTCTAGCCTGGCCTTGAACTCACAGAGATGCGCCTGCCTCTGCCTCCCGAGTGCTGGGATTAAAGGCGTGCACCACCACTGCCCGGCAAGAAACTCCTTTTTAAGTTCAAGATTAGATAGATTTACTGCAAATTCTGATATTTTTTAAAAAGATTTATTTATTATGTATACAGTGTTCTGTCTGCATGTATGCCTGCAGGCCAGAATAGGATGTCAGAGCATTACAGATGGTTGTGAGCCACTATGTGGGTTCTGGGAATTGAACTTGGGACCTCTAGAAGAGCAACCAGTGCTCTTATCCTCTGAGCCATCTCCACAGCACCCCTGATTCTTTTTTTTTAATTTAAAGAAATTTTAACTTATTTATTTTTATTTTATGTGCATTGGTGCTTGGCCATTGGTGTCAGGTCCTTTGCCATGTGGGTGCTGGGAATTGAACCTGGGTCATCTGGAAAAGCAGTCAGTGCCCTGAACCACTGAGTTACTCTCCAGCCCCATTTCTACTGGTTTTTAAAAAAAAAGTTTTAATTTTTCACTTATATAAACATACAAGTGTTTAGAATGCTCCAGAGGAGGAGGAGAAGCTGAGCCATCTCCGTATGCCCATAGTTTTATTCTTTTGTTTTAGAGACAGGACCTCACAATGTAGCTCTGGCTGTTGTGGAACTCACTTTGTAGACTAGGCCAGCCTCTACCTCCTGAGTGCTGGGATTAAAGGTGTGTTCCACCAAACTTGGCTGCACAGTTCTATCTTTTAACAGGTAGCATCTACCTAAATGCAAGGGACTGGATACATTTAGCTTCTTAGAAAACACCACAGTCATAAACTACAAATGCAAAAGAGATGACGCTCCATTGACCTGCCTCACATGCAAAGCCCTGGGTTAGGTCCTCACTTCTCCATGAAAACGGGAGGAGTGGTACAGGCAGATCAGTACTTCAAGGTCATCTTCAACTACACAATAAATTGAGGCCAATATGGGCTAAACAAATGACTAAAGAACAGTCAGAAAGTAACTTTACATACTCTCTTGGAATGGTGCCTCATCATCTTCTTCTGGCTCTTCCTCACTGCCAACATCTTCTAAGAGCATCTCTCTCTGTTTAGAAGCTGCTTTAGATGCTGCCTGTCGTTGCTGGCGTACATTTTTATGATCATCTTTTTCGTCTTCACTGTCATCTGTAATATAAAAGTTACTGTGACACAATAACTTCAACAATCAAAGAATTTTACATCTGCTGACAGAAGATATAGCAGTATAACTTCACTCAAAAAGAAGTAAAAATCTAACCTTAAAAAATCTTTAAAGTTGGGGCTGGAGAGATGGCTCAGTAGTTAAGATCACTGACTGCTCTTCCAGAGGACCTAAATTCGAATCCCAACACCCACAAGGCAGCTCACAACTATCTATAATTCCTGTTCCAGGGGATCCAACACCCACATAGAGAAACACATGCAGGAAAAACACCAACGTACATATAGCCAGTGCTACACAGAGACCCTATCTTGAAAAACCAAAAACAAACAAAAAACGCCAAACAAACAAAATCCTTAAAAAGTCAGATATGGTGGTACATATCTACAGTCCCATCTAGAAGATAAAGAGTTCAGGATCTATCTGCACTACACAGAGGGGCCACAATCAAGCAGTCAGGTGGGCCTCATTATAATAAGCAATCATGTGGTGGAGAAATGGCAGATAAAGAGAAGCAGAATGGTTCATACATTGTGGAAAGACACAGAAAGGATGAAGACAGTGAGAACTGGACTCATGATGGAGGCCTGCTTACCACCTGGGACCATGATGAAGGTGATGAAGAGTAAATTGAGTGGGGAGGTTTGCTTGCCATCCAGGGCCATATCTGAGTTAGCCAGGATATCAGTGGCTCCTACTGCCATCAAGTGCCACTGGTCTGGGCTGTCAATCTGGGTGACCTTCTCTGCCACTTAGGACCATGATGACAATCAGACCCAGGCTGCTGCAGAGGACTATTTCTGGGTCTGTAGTTCTATCACAGCCAAGGTCTATGTTAATGTCCATGGCCCACAAAAGACTACATGAAGCCTAGGGGCTGGGTCTGCAACCTGTGGCCTTGTTGGTGTCCAAGAGGCATGCTGCTGCCAGACCCATTCTGATCTGTGTGGCTGGGGAGCTAGGATTCTACCAGGCCAAGCTGTTGCGTGGGGGGGAGGACAACGCCAACAATGACGGACATGCTTGGGTATGTGGCCCAGCTGCAGCTGGCATCTGTGCTGAAATCTGTGGTTTAGTACATAGAGGCCTGGGATCTGAGCTGGAGCTTGCAGCTTGGTGGGAGATCTGGGTGGCCTGTGCTGCCAGCTGGGGCCATGTTGTCAGCTGGGCCCAGTCTGCTGCCGAGGGTCATGGCCCTATAGTGGCCAGGGTCTGGATTGATGTATGTGGTGCCTGTTGCCACAGAGGGCTGTGAGAATGCCCAGGGTCAGATCAGCCACCTGAGACCACGTTGGCGTCCAAGGACCAGGATGTATCCAGATCTGAGTGGCCTGTGTTGCCACTCATTGCCATGGTGACATTTGGGCTAGAGCTGCAGCTAAGGGCCATGTCAGGGTCTATGCTGATGTCTCGGGCTCCTGTTAGGTTTGAAGGCCTGAAGACACATGTGATTGGGAGTCATGTTGGTGTCTGAGCTATACTGTGGCTGAGGCCTGTGCCAATCTGAGTGGCCTACACTCCCAGCTGCTGCCAAGGACCACATCTGGATCCATGGTCCTACCATGGCTGGGGTCTGTGCTAAAGTCTAAGTTTCATATTGCCACCAAAAGTTACATAGAAGCCAAGGGTTGGGGCTGCAACCGGAGGCCTTGGTGGTATTCAGTGGCCATGTGGCCGCTAGAACCATTCCAACCAGAGAGGCCATTGCTTCCACCCAGAGCCAGGATATCATCTGGGCTCAAGCTGCTACTGTGGGCCATGAGTGGGTCGATGGTCTAGCTGCAGTTGGGATCTGTGTTGATGCCTGTGGCCCGTTTCACCTCAGCAGGCTTTAGGAAACATGCAAGGTGAAATCAGAGGGCCATGTTGAGCCAGCTCTGCCCTTCGTTGGCCCTGGGAGAGCTGGCCCCTGCACTGAGGATGATCACACCTTAGAAGAGGGCAAACTGACCCTGATGGCATGGATGCTAGGGAGCTAACTCTGACCCCAGTGGCCTAGACTGACCAGCTCAGCTACCACCCAGGCTCACCCTAAAACATCTACCCCATCTAAGACCTGCTGGAGCTCATCAAGGGACTAGCCCTGTAGAACAATACCCACAGGATCTCCATGACTCAGGGAGGCCACAGGGTATCCCAAGAGTTTCAGTGAGGATCCAATTATGAAGGTATACCAGAAACCAGAGGCCTTGAACCAGACCAGTGACTCACGGTAATGAACATTTTCAAGCAAAGCTGATGGGACAAAAGGGTGTACAGGCTGAGGCCCCATTGGCACCAGGACAAATGGAGTGTGAGAGAGGCAGGAAAGGAGGAGAAGCAAAGAGGCTTGTTGTTCTTGTTTTTTTTTTTTCTCTCTTCACTTTTGTTTGCTTGCTTACTTTGTTTTGTTTTCTTTGGTAGGAGGACCAGGAGGTGAATGGAACTGGGGTACAAGATATGAAGCTCTCAAAGAAATAAATAAAAAAAAAAAACAAAAAATAATCTTGTAAAATATAGAGTGCTAATGTTAAGAATCAACTTAAAAATAAATGTACTTGTGATATATAGACATGGGTGACCTCAAAATTATGGAGACTTGCCTGCCTCTCTGTCATCATGCCTGCCATAGACATGTAGCTTTAAGAAACTGCAAAGCTGAATTAAACTGTGAATACTTAAAATTTATAACTGTTTAATTCTAAAATTATATGCCAATCTATGTTTACTGATTTTAGAAGCTAAAGTAAGAAAAATATTTTAAAATAGAAGCAGTAAGGAAGCCTTCCAATTATCCTAAGATATAAAACACAAAAAACCATGCTAAATTACTACTCCATACAATGGATTGGGTGACCTTTTCAATCTAGAGTCAGGCAGAGGGAAATCTTTAAAAGCACATTAATTAAATGAGCTAGCTAAAGATCCAAGGAGAAGCTTATAAACATTACTCATATACTACAACGAATTAATTACTGTTTCACCAATGCAGTTATTTAGCTTGCAAACTGAAGGTGAACCTGCTGGCCTACTAGCTCTAGACTAAGCTTTATTTTACTAGTCTCTACTCATGGCTCTTTCCTGAACTTTTAGGCTTCCCTACTCTAGTCTGTCATACTTTTAAAACAGTCCCATAGGGCTTTCCCATGGTCCACGTTTTTCTTCTGAGGGAAGGAAAAAAAAAAAAAAAAAAAAGGCCAGGCAGTGATGACACATACTTTAATGCCAGCACTCAGGAGACGGAGGCAAATACATTTTGATTTTTTTTTTTTTTCGAGACAGGGTTTCTCTGTATTGTTTTGGAGGCTGTCCTGGAACTCACTCTGTAGACCAGGCTGGCCTTGAACTCACAGAGATCCGACTGCCTCTGCCTCCCGAGTGCTGGGATTAAAGGTGTGTGCCACCAATGCCTGGCTGATTTTTTTTTTTTTGAGACAGATTTTCTCTGAGTATGAGTAACTGCTAACTGTCAAAGACTTCCTACACAATGGTTGGGTTTTTGTAAGGCTCTCCCCTTCATGGTCAATATTTTAACTATTTCTAGAGCAAAAGATGAGTCTAGAGACAACTAGAGAATAAATCAAACTATGGTGGACCCTAAACTAAATCCAGTTGGCAAGAGTTGTGTTTATTACAAGTACAGAGTCATGTATCTTAAAATATTAAAAATCTTAAAGGTAAGAAATTCAAATTAAGGCTCACAAAGAACATGAATGTCAAAGACATTATCTCTGGGTCACTCGATAGTATAATTTAAGTAGGAGAGAAGGCAAAAACATGTCAGTAGAGCGAATTTAGCAGAATGTTGTCTATTTATTGTATTGTTCAACAGCAGTCATGAAAAAACAACATCTAAGAAGACAAAGGAAGGGTCAAAATGAAAGTAGCCGGAAGCAATAAGGAATATAGAATATAGAAAGCTATAAGCCACCAGATATGGATACTGGGAATAGAACTCAGGCTCTCTGTAAAAGCAGCCAGCACTCTGTAACTGCTGAGCCATCTCTCTAGTCCTTCTGTTACTGTTTGACAGAATCTCCTTATAGAACTCCCTGGCTGGCTTTGTACTTTGCAGGAATTCTCCTGTCTCGGTATCTGGAATGCTGGTATTAAAGGGTATATTCTACCATACCTCATTCCCATTAATTCTTTAAATTCAAAAATTTTTAGCCAGGTGGTGGTGGTGCATGCCTTTAATCCCAGCACTTGGGAGGCAGAGGCAAGCAGATCTCTGAGTTTGAAACCAGCCTGGTCTACAAGAGCTAGTTCCCGGACATCCTCCAAAGCCACAGAGAAACCCTGCCTCAAAATAAATAAATAATTTTAAAATTTTACAAAGTATTTTTTCTATGACTATTACTTCAAATGGCATTTACTTAGTTTGCTGTAATTTCTTTATTCAAGTAAAAGTTGAATAGCAGCTGGGAATGGTGGCACATGCCTTTAATCCCAGCATTGAAGAAATAGACAGTTGGGTCTCTGATTTTGAGGCCAGCCTGGTCTATTTGAGTTCCAGCATAGTCATGGCACATAGTGAAACCCTGTCTCAAACAACAAAACAATTTTGTTTTTTAAGACAGTGTTTCTTTGTGCAGCTCTGGCTGTCCTGGAACTCAACTCTGTGGACCAGACTGGCCTCAAACTTACAGAGATCCACCTACCTCTGCTTCCTTGAGTGCTGGGATTAAAGGTTTCCATCCAGAAAAACAAAATATTTTTTAAATGTTTTTATTTTCTTTATTTATGTGCATTTGTGTTCTGACTACATGTATATCTGTATGAGGGTGTTGGGTTTTCTGGAACTGGAGTTATGGACAGATAGATGTGAGCTACTGTGTGGGTACTGGGAATTGAACCCTGGTCCCCTGGAATCGTTGAGCCATTTCTCCAGCCACTCTAATAAAAAGGTCTCAATCTTAATTTTGCATGTAAATAACCTGTAGATACTTTAAAAAAATCCATAAAGATGAAGAATAATTTTTACCTGTGTGAAAATAGAAACTTTTATAATTCCAGCATTTGAAAGTATCTGACATACAAAATTGCTTGTTAATAAGTGAAGAGTATATTAATTATTCCTACTGCAATAAATATAGCTTACCTGCTGAGTGAGAATCATCCTTCTTAGTCTTTAGATCTTTTTCTTCTGAGTCTTCACTGTAAAGAAAAAAGAAAATGCTTATAAGTCTTAGATCAAAGTCTAAGATGGGCAGGGTACCTACATTTGTAATCCCAGCAGTAAGGATGCTCAAACAGAAGGACTGACATCAGTTCAGACCCATCCTGGGCTACAGTGTGTTTTAGGTCAGCCTGAACTAAAGAACAGGACCCTAAACTGGGTATAGTGGCACATGCCTTTAATCTCAGCACTTGGGAGGCAGAGGCAGATGGATTTCTGTGTAGTCAATGACAACCTGGTATATAGGAGGCTTTGTCTTTTAAAAAGCTAAGACCAGTCAAGGTAACACAGAGAAACACACCTCAAAAAACCAAAAGACTCTGTCTTCAGACAACAATAACAACAAAAAGTAGAATCAAATTTCTAATGCCAGAATTGAGAAGAACACTGATAATGCTTCACACAAACAAGGCCAGGGCAGTGGTGGCACACACCTTTAATCCCAGCACTCGGGGGAGGCAGAGGCAGGTGGATCCCTGTGAGTTCCAGGCCAGCCTGATCTATAGGGCAAGTTCTAGGACACCCACAGTTTATTACACAAAGAAACCCTGTCTCAAAAAAAAAATGTTCAAACAGATGCCGAGGAATGAAACTGCTTCATTATTCCCTTACCTTACACAGTGATTATAATTTAACTCCTCATGGAAAAATAAACTGAGTCCCAAGACTCAATAGGAAAGGGAGAAAGTATCTTGAACAAACAAAACCCCAAGGGCCCTGCATGAGCAAGGTCCCCAGCTTAATCCTTCTTCCCAGGGCCACAACAAACAAATTCAGAAACAAAAAACAGTGAAGGAAAGTTTATAAATCTAACTTTTGATGAAGTGTGTGATTTTTCTCTGCTATTTCAATGAGCAAAGTCTGAGAAAAGCTCAATTCTTAAATAGAAATGGATAGAAAACTGAAAACTCAACAAAACATTGACTTACAGGTTTAAGATCAACCAACCTAAAGGTTAATCTGAGCTATATGCTCTGAGATCCTGCCTGACCCCTGACCAAAACACAAAGAAAAACTTCAGGCCAGATATAGACACTGATTAGACAATTTTTTTGCTCTGCCTTTTTATTTTTATTTTTGTGAGACAGGGTTTCTCTGTGGCTTTGGAGGCTGTCCTGGAACTAGCTTTTGTAGACCAGGGTGGTCTGGAACTCACAGAGATCTGCCTGCCGAGTGCTGGGATTAAAGGTGTACACCACCACCTCCAGGCACTGATGAGACAATGTTAACAGATTATAAATGGTTCATATTTAGGAGAAATATAGGTGAATACAATAAAAAATATTTCTAAGTTGGGCTATTTAAAACTGGGTAAGAGAGATATACCCTAAACTTGAGAAGATCTGTCTCCCAGTGGTATAACAATGAATTATTATTTTCTAAAAAAAAATCACATTTCTGTAAAACATTAAGATATATATATACAAACAAACAAACTATTCAATAAACGAATACATTTATAGGGATTTTAATATCCTAAGCCTTAATTTTGTTTAAAAATTATTATTTCATGTGTATGGGTGCTTTGTCTGCATGTGTCTGTATACCAAATGTGTGCCTGGTGCCCATCAAGACCAAAAGGTGGCATTGGATCCCCTGAATCTAGTATTACAGAGAGCTGTGAGCTATTATGTGGATACTGGGAATGGACCCTGGGTCCTCTAGAAGAGCAGTCAGTGCTATTAACCACTGAGCCATTTCTCCAGCATCCATGAGTCTTAGAATGATTGAGAAATATTATTTCATTTCTTTGAATTGCTTATCTGTATGTAATAGGAGCACTTGAAAGTGGTACAGCCTGATGGTTAAAAGTGGAATTTGTGGTCTACTGAGTATGGTTTCAAAATCAAAATCAACCCCCTGCTTCATTCACTGAACCCCTCAACCTTATAGATGTGTTATGAGAACTAAGTGACCATGTACATAAAGCACAATGTGGCCCCACACTAACATTCTTACTTCATCATCATCATCTTCATCATCATCATGTCTTAAAGTTAGACATCATGAAAAGTCTGTGTTCACTTTTAAAACCAGGAGAAAAATTCTATCATTCTGCTCTCAATGTAGTTATGTTACAGTTAAATCGCAATTCATCCAATTCATGCAATTTGTGAAACTAAAGGAAAAGGTCTGGAGATGACTAGCTCAGTGGCAGAATGTTTGCCCAGCACATTTAAGGTCCTGGCTCCATTCTTAGCACTGCAACAAGAAAAAGAATGGTGAGAGGCAAGTATCTAAAATGACTATTTGAACAAGAAAGACTCATTTTGAGAGTAAAATTCAATAGGGTACAGTGCTTAGACTTCCACAAGCTTTAGTTTCTGTTTCCTGCTATTGACCACTACAATCAAGTGTCAATACCAACCTTGGATAACAAATTACAAGCCTAAAGCATTCTTTGGGCTAATGCTCTTAAGTTTGAGGAAGCAGCAAAAAGCATTCCTGGAGGTCACGTCTGATCCAAAGTTCAGACCAAGTAGCTTCTGGGGAAGAAGTTGACCTGCAGGCCTAGAAGCATAGCTGACATGACATGAAACAGACTGCATATAGAAACTTCACCTAGTTATAGTACACAGACTGTCTTCATTTCAGAGTTCTGACAATGTAACTAGGAAGATAAAAACAATGGCGCCTCCTACCTGTCTTCTTGTGAATTCTTTCCAGATCGCCTCTTATTTTTAGCTTCTCGAGGAGATGACCGAATTTTCTTCGCAGGAGGGCCTGAATCTCTTCCATAGTCTTCATCTAAACAAGCAATTTTCCAAATTCAGTTAATTATATTATGTTTACATGCTGAAATCACACATTAATCCTCATACTATTTAAATAAGTGTGACTAGATTTCCCTCAGGGTTTCTTTACTTAAAAGGGATAGGGGGAGATGGAGAGATGGCACATGCTGTTCCTCCAGAAGACCTGGGTTTGATTCCCAACACCTACATGGAGGCTCACAACCTGAATTCCAGTCCTATCTATTTTATGTAATAAATTATAATTGTCTGGTCCTTATATACTCACATTTTATACATTTACACAACAGTTTATCATTTTATACCATTCCCATTTAGTTATGATCTCCCCATGTTATTTACCTGAAATTTCATTAATATTTTGTTATAAACATCTCAAAAAGCCTAAAATCTACAATCTTAACATAATAGTGTGATCAAGTAAATTACTCTTAAACCAACTCTGGATAGTCATAACTTTAGGAAAATACCTCCAACTGCAAAAGCCCCATAAGAAAACCTTATCTTAAATGATGATTACTCTACAACCACAGTAACAGTGTAACAATGAGAACCTAGAAGTATCCTGGGACTTCAGCAATTCTTAAATTGCTGCATTCATTATGAATTCCTTAACAGAATAGTCTAATCATTATCAGCAATGTTTATTTTAATTATATGTATGTGTAGAGTATATGTGGTTATGTGCACATGAGCTTAGCATGGATGTTGAGAACTGAACTCAGATCCTCTGCAACAGCAGAATATGCTATTAACTAGTGTACTATCTTCTGCTTCTTAAAAATAACTAAAAGAAAAAAGACCTAAATAAGTGAGATTGGTGCAGTGCCCAACCCTTAACCGTGTAGGCCACTGGTGGCACATGTCTTTAATCCCAGCACTCGGGAGGCAGAGGCAGGTGGAGCTCCGTGAGTTCAAGGTCAGTCTGATACAGAGCAAGTTCCAGTACAGCCTCCAAAGCTACAGAGACCATTTCAAAAAGAAAACAAACAAAAACCCACCAAAAATGACCCTTAACCACATTAAAAACAAGAAACGTTCGAGTGGGGGGACATGCTTGCCAGGTTATACATGAAGAAGGACAGAGGACAGCTCGAAGGAATCAATTCTCTCCTTCCACTATGTGCATTCTAGAGATCAAATTCAAGTTATCAGGCTGGGCACATTACAAGCCCTTAACTACATTTTTAAAAGTTAAAAAGAAAAAGGTCAAAAACAGCTACATGCCAACTAAGTATCAACTCTGCTTCAGTTTTCTTAACTATAAATAAAACAGAAGATTCTGTAGTAGTATTATTCTATAAAAAACAACCTATTCTGCAGATACAACCTGGACAGTCATACTACTGTGCTTAGCTAGTTGCAGGTATTTTATATAAATAAACAATGCATCATAAATTACTGGACATTTAACTGTTGGAGCCTAAAATCAGATAAGAAAAAAAGTCAGTGGTTTATTTCAATGATTTACAGAAAAAGCTAAATGCCAGGCATAGTAGCACACACCTGCAATCCAGCAATCGTGAGGTTAAGGCAAGAGCATTTTGAGTTCAAGGACAACCTAGGCTATATAACCGACCTCCTATCAAAATAAATAAATAAAAGAGGACAAGTTAACCTTTTATTTTCTTTGACACAGATCACTGGGTACTTTTAAATAATAGACAGACCTTTAAAAGCATGATAAAAAGCACAGACACAGGTCTGTCAGGACAATACGTGACTTGTAGAAATCACAAACATACCTGCATCATCTGATTCCTGAAACTGTGAGTAATCAACGACCTTCCTATTTCTGCAGAGAGACAAATTTAGATAATTAAAAAAAAAAGTTTGACTTCTAAAACACCAAAAAACACATTTCAGTTTTATAAACAGAATGGTTCCCAGTCCAGGTGTAATGACACATGCCTTTAACTCCAGTTCTTGGGAAAGAAAAGCAGGCAGATGTATGAGTTTGAAGCTAGCCTGGTCTGCCTATATAGTAAAATAGTAAGACTCTGCCTCATAACAAAAATAACAACAAAAACCAAAACAGACAAAAATCAACTCTCAAACTTACACCACTTACCTCAGTGACAGCTTAAACTATTCTTCCCAAGCTTTAAACTTCCCACCTCCCAAAGAGCAGAACAGGCAAGCAGGGCTGTTCACCACATGTATCCACTATACATAGATAGATATTCCACATTTATTATACATTGCTGTGGAACAGTCTTTGTACACTGTAAATATGTATTACTCTCACTGGTTAATAATGAGCTGACTGGCCTACAGCTATGGATAGGAAAAGACTGGGCAAGAAAGCCGGTCTGGGAGGGCACTAGGAAGAAGGGTGGAGTCTCAGAAGAAGCAGAGAAGCAGCATGGAAAGTTCATACATGAGGTAAACAAGCCATGGGGCTGCACATAGATTAACAGAAATGGATTCATTTAGTTATAAGAGCTAGCTAAAAAAAAAAAAGCTTAAGTTATAGGGAGCATTCATAATAAATCTTAAGTCTCTGTGTGATTTTTTGGGGGAGTGGCTGGTGAGACAAAAAAGTCTACCTACAGCTGGGCGGTGGTGGCGCACGCCTTTAATCCCAGCACTCGGGAGGATCTCTGTGAGTTGGAGGCCGGGCTGGACCGACAGCCTCCAAAACAATACAGAGAAACCCTGTCTCGTAAAAAAAAGTCTACCTACAATACATAAACATTCATGGGTGAAAATGTTAAGTGTTAACTACCCCCTCCCACCCACATTTTTCTGTATTATACAGCTCTGGCTGTTCTGGAATTTGCTTATATAGACCAGGCTATCCTCTAACTCAAGAGATTCTTTGCCTTTGTCTCCCCAATAGTAGGATTAAAGGTATTTGACACCATGTTTGGTTGTTAATTTTTCTTTTGTTTTTTGAGACAAGAGTTTTACCATGTAGCCCTGGCTGTTCTGGAACTCACTGTGTAGACCAAGCTGGTCTAGAATTCAAAGATCCACCTGCCCCGGCTCCTGAATGCTGGGATTAAAGGTGTGCTCTACCACCAGCCAGTCTTTTTTTTGAGGGGGGGAGGAGGGTGTTATTTTATTTTTACTGTTATATACATAGACACTTATACTTGGTAAAACAAGATTACGGCTAAGCAAAAAAGTTTTTAAGATATATGTTATAATGCTCCCAAATTATGATAAAACTAAGCTTTAGAAGAAAAAAATTCACTGTAGTCAAAAGATGCTTTAAAAAAAGGTGTGCTTTATATGTACATTATCTATGTACGTGTATGCACACCGTGTTGTGTTCTGGTATTCATGTAGGGCAGAAGGTCTTAGATTCCTGGTGGTTGTAAGGGTACCTAACTTGGGTGTTTGCTTTTTGTTTTGAGACAGGATCTCACTATGTAGCAAAAGCTGACTTCAAACTCATGATCCTGCTTCCCCTGCTCCAATTACAACTGTGTAACATCATACCAAACCAATGGAACTATGCCTTCTGTTTTGTTCTAAGAAAACTATGAGATCTGGAGATGACTTTGAAGTATACAGGAGAATGTGCAAAGGTCATATACAGCACTCTATATAAGAAACTTGGATGCTTGTTGTAGGGCTAAAGTACATTTTTTTTAATGAATTGGAAGCTAAGGAAATTTACCATGATCCAAACCTAACATTTAAGAGGAGGATTAATAAAATACAAGGGCATGACATGCTCTATTTATTTCTAATCAAAACAACAAAAGTCTTGTCAAAATCCTACCAGAGAGCCAGAAATGGTGGAAAGCCTGTCATCCAGTCCCCAGGAAGGTCAAGAGACTGATGTGGACTAAGCTTCAGAGAGCCCTAGTCTCAAACTGCTACTATGTAAATGCCAAGTGGAACTAACTCTCCACATGAACAGCAACTACCAGAAATGTGAGCAAATATACCATTTCAACATAGCACAGATGACTGAAATAAACTAAATCAGGGCCCTGCCACAACTAGTTCTGTCCTTGAGGAAGAAATTCGTCCTCACTAACCATGTAAAACAGGAGGAATACAAAATACTCAAGAGTAGGGCTGGAAGCATGGCTCAGTGGCTAAAGTGCTCTTGACCATTTCCACTCCCAGCAGGTGGCTCAAAACTCTTATAACTCTAGAGAATACTACCCAATCATCTGAACTCCACATGCACATGCCCACACATAATTAGAAATAAATATGCATTCTTTAAAGTTAAAGACTATCTAATAGTGACAGAATATTTATTGAGGGCTGATAAAATGGGTAAAGATACTGGTCATCAACTCTGATGACCCAAGTTCAATCTCTAGGACCAGCATGGTGGAAAAGAATGGTTCCCACGATTGTCCTCTGTCCTCCACAAGGAGGATATGACATGTGCATACCCACATGCATATCACACAAATATATATATATGTTGGGGAAGTCCTGTGTATATGTTAATAAATTACTGCTGGCCAATAGGAATCTAGATAGGTGGGGCTAGGAGTCCAGGAGGATTCTGGGAAGGAGAAACACAAGAGAGTCAACATGTAATGCCATGGGGGTAGGAAGCCTAGAACTATTCTCTGGTAAGAAACATAATTAGATTAACAATTATGGGGTAATTACTTAAGTCAGAGCTAGCCAGTTAGAAACAAGCAAGGCCAACAGCTTCATAATTAATATAGCCTCCTGTGTGTTTATTTGGGACTGATGCGGCTCTAGAACCAGGCTGGCGGGAAGGCTCCTCTCAAGGAAAGCTTCTCTTAACATATATATATATTTAAGAACGAGAACATCAATTTCACAACCAGAAATATCACTTTTGTTAGCTCTAACAAAAAGTACTCTGAAGAATGAAGGGGTATGCCCCCCAAGCCCCCTTCTCACAGGGTTTCTCTGTAGCTTTGGAGCCTGTGTCCTGAACTTGATCAGTAGATCACATTGGTCTCAAACTCACAAAGATCCACCTGTCTCTGCCTCCCATTAAAGGCGTGCACTACTACTGCTCAACGGAGTGCAAGGTTTTATAGTTAGAAAAAAATTACTGCGTTTTGAAATTATTTCTTAACCCCCTCAATTTTACAATAAGAAAATGGAACCAAGGCCACAGAACTTAGCTTTGAGACAGAGTCTCACTATGTAGCTTTGACTAACTAGCATAGAACTCACTATGTAGACCAGGCTGGCCTTGAATTCATAGAGACCCACCTGCCTCTGCTCCCTGAGGGCTAAAATTAAAATTGTGTGCAATGATGCCAGTCCTAGAATTTAATTTTTTATAACAAGTCTACACATCTATCTGAAATCTACATAAGGAAAGCTGAATTAACAACTGTCAATTGCAAAATCTAATCTAATTATCAGGACCTTAAATTTTACACCATGGAGAACATAGCCATTTTAAAAATACGTCTAAGAGACTTTTAAACAATCTAAAGTTCAACCAATGTTTGACTGCACTGCTACTTCTATCCCAAAGTTAATTTTTATTATAAAAAAACTGAATTTTCAGGGGGCTAGAGAGGTGGCCCAGCCATCAACAGTACTGGCTGAGTTCAGATCCCAGCATCTAAGTCAATCACTTGTAACTCCAGTTCTAAAGGATCCAATACTCTCTTTTGGCACAAGACACTCAAATGGCACACACATATACATACACGTTGGCAGTCAGCATCTCATTTATCAAATGAATGAGATCCTGCAGAACAGCTTTTCAACTTATAGGCTATAAACCTCTGTTACTGGGCTGTGGAATCATTTATTGGTGCCTAAACAGCATTTTAAAAGAAAAACAGCAAATAGAAAATAACAACAACAAAAAAACCCCTGTACTCTAGCACTCGTAAGTTCCCAATCTTGAGTGGATTATAACATACACAGATTTCAACTGGAATTCTACCAAAGTAGCTCAAGAGCCACTTAGGGGGGGAAAAAGGAGACTGCAGAACTGCAAGGACACTTCCAGATTTTGGCAACAAACATGGCATTTTTGTTTGTAAATCCACATGTGTGCAGTGCTCATGGAAGAAACCAAGAGAGGTGTGTGTGTCCGTGTCCCACCCAGGGCTGGAGTTACAGATGGTTGTGGGCAGCAGATCCTCTGGGAGACAGCAAGAGCTCTTAATCACTGAGAAATCTCTTTAACCCTTCCTCTTCTATAGCTTGGTCTAAAACTGATGATCATTCTATTTTAAGCCTCCTCTGTGCAGAAAATATGGAGCATACCACCAAACCTGGCTCAAAATATCTTTCGTTTGAGGCACCAAGTTTCTTAAAGTTTAAACACTGCCAGTCAGGTGCAGTTGTGCATGCCTTTAATCCCAGCATGTGGGGGAGGGGGCAGAGGCAGGCCTGAGTTCTGAGGTTAGCATGATCTACACAGTAGGCTCCAGGACAGCCAGGGCTAAGGTGACCCGGTCTCAAAAAATAATAAATAAAAATAAAGACCTACCAGATTTTGGTAGTGTGATAAGGAGACACAGCAAAATTCTGCAGATTCTGTTATGGATACTAAATTCTAAATGATCTTATCCAACCTTGAATCTTGTCAACAAAATCCCAAGAGAGCCAAGGTAAAATTCACTCATTAAATAGTTCTTCATAGGGAGTGCAAACCTGTTTCCACCATCTACTGACTAGGTCATATAGTTCTAGCTACCGTAATTACCTTGTCTAATCCTATCCCTTCCTCCTCAGAGCAGCCCTTAATATTTATATTAACCTCATTTTTTCTCTTGCAAAGTAAGTATGTTTTTGTTTGTTTGGTTTTGTCTTCCTAAGACAGTCTCTACATAGCCCCTGTGCTGTCACTCACTAGGTAGACAAGGCTGA